TGTGCGTGTGTGTGTGTGTGTGTTTGTGTGTGTGTGAGAGGGTGTGTGTGCGTGCGTCTGTGTGTGTGTGTGTTTGTGTAAGTGTGTGAGTGTGTGTGTGTGTGTATGTGTGTGTGAGAGAGTGTGTGTGAGAGAGTGTGTGTGTGTGTGTGTGTGAGAGAGTGTGTGTGTGTGTGTGTGTGAGAGAGTGTGTGTGTGTGTGTGTGTGAGAGAGTGTGTGTGTGTGTGTGTGTGAGAGAGTGTGTGTGTGTGTGTGTGTGAGAGAGTGTGTGTGTGTGTGTGTGTGAGAGAGTGTGTGTGTGTGTGTGTGTGAGAGAGTGTGTGTGTGTGTGTGTGTGAGAGAGTGTGTGTGTGTGTGTGTGTGAGAGAGTGTGTGTGTGTGTGTGTGTGAGAGAGTGTGTGTGTGTGTGTGTGTGAGAGAGTGTGTGTGTGTGTGTGTGTGAGAGAGTGTGTGTGTGTGTGTGTGTGAGAGAGTGTGTGTGTGTGTGTGTGTGAGAGAGTGTGTGTGTGTGTGTGTGTGAGAGAGTGTGTGTGTGTGTGTGTGTGAGAGAGTGTGTGTGTGTGTGTGTGTGAGAGAGTGTGTGTGTGTGTGTGTGTGAGAGAGTGTGTGTGTGTGTGTGTGTGAGAGAGTGTGTGTGTGTGTGTGTGTGAGAGAGTGTGTGTGTGTGTGTGTGTGAGAGAGTGTGTGTGTGTGTGTGTGTGAGAGAGTGTGTGTGTGTGTGTGTGTGAGTGTGTGAGCGTGTGTGAGTGCGTGCGTCTGTGTGAGCGTGTGGGTGTGTGCGTGTGAGTGTGTGTGTGTGTGTTACCTCAGTTGATGAGCAGAGCAGGCAGAGTCAGCTCAGATGTCGACTGGTCACACATCTGTCATTCTATAACAGACAAACATCAGAGCACAGGTCAGCTGAAGATCACTTCAGTCAGAACACTTTCAAAACATCCAGTCAATCTGAACATAATAAGTAAAAATTATTTAAATTCATTTTCTGCATCAGACGAAATCAGTAACTGAAGAGGAGATATTTAATTAGTGCTTCTTTGCTGGTGCGTTTGCTAGTGTCAGAGTCTATCTGTGCATGGATAAGCATGGAAACAGGTTTTGATGAACAGAGATCGTCTAGTCAGTGGTTCTTATGCTGCATTCATGCCATGTCGTGATTACTGTAGTTTTGAGAAGACAACACGTGACGTTCTGCGTGGAGCTGTTCACACCCTTGGACTCAGAACGATCGCACATAGCGCCTAACGAATCTGAGCTGATCAGAGCTGATCACCGGCCATTCATAACTTCTACTAGCCAAAAAAAAAAAAAAAGACGTGTTATTGTGCTGATATCTTAAGGACTACCATGGACAGTTCTTCAGTGGTTAGTTCACAGCAGTGATAGAAAAATTATATTTTCCAATAAGTTTAAATTGATTTTTAACTTTTATGGGCATTCTTACCTTTATAAAGCCATTTTTTTCTAAAAGTGTACATCATCTTTTGAGTCAAATTCTTACATTTAATCAGTCAATTATAATAATAATACATTTAGGCTGTTACTAAACGAATTAAATCAGTATCAATAAAATTCATCTTTGCAGAAGTTGCATATGAAGTGGCATTTAGATGTATTTACACACGTTAATGCAGCTTAGAGGGACATGGAATGCTTTAAACTGCAGTTACAAATGCATAAATAATGTTTTGATATTTAAAACATGAAATGTTGAATACTACTCGATAATGCCATGATGTCTCACGAGTTCAGTATTTGCGCTAAACCTGTGCAGATTTGACCTGCATGAACTTCCCCAAGAAATAAATGAGTGAACATAATTTACGAAAAGTAACCCGCCAAATTGGCTAGTGATTTGACAGTGTTACCCGCCACAGATGATTTTTACCCGCATTTGGCGGGTTGGCGGGTTGGCGGGTGTTAATTTCAAACCCTGGTGGTATCTCATAATCACCATAATTACAATATTACAATACTCCCAGCACATGTGAAATCGGCTTTTTTAAAAATAATTTGCACTACACCTTTACCTGCAGTATCTTCACACACTGACCAAACTTACTAGAGAAGTGTGGAAAGATCTGTAGCGCCTCCTGTCCAGTAATCACAATAAATAATTGTTACTTTCAGAGTGAAACAGTTTCTGCAGCTTTCAAATCTGTCATGAAATAAAAACAATCTGTGGTTTTGTGGCTCTTTAATGTGCGCTGACAGATCATCTCTTCCTCTTTACTACTAGTTGCAGCAGCAAATCAACAGGAATGATCATCAGAAGAAACAGAACAGCTCACTGAAATCAATCAAGAGAGGAGCACTACATTATACATTCATTCGGTTATACTGAACCTGTCGTTTTTATTAATGAATGCATGTCTGAATAAATGTGAATAAAATTAGTTATTACAGCCACCATTACACAGCTTTGTATGTTGTGTGCATGCCTCATCTACAGTGTTGGGAGTAACGCATTACAAAAGTAATAATATTACAGTAGTATATTACTTTTTGCTGTAACGCAGTAATATAACTCATTACTAATAAAATTTGGGTAATATTATTACTCGTTACAATCTCAGTAATGCAAGTTACAACAACATATTTTAGCTCTAAATTAAGTGGTGAATTTACCAACACCACAAAACAGCACCTGAGAAAAAATTCCGCGGGTAAAATAGTTTGTCTATCTTCTGTTGCTGGAATTAGATGGTTGAGATGACTGCAGAGACGGATTCTACATTTGTGAGATGGACACACTCCTGTTATCTTCAGTTCATCGGAGAAAAGGATAAGAATGCATAGTCAGGTGCAAACTCCCAACATGGAGAAATAGCAGGAGTAAAACCTGCAAACACTGGACTGGTGCCACTAACACTAGCTATCGGAGAGAGCTGTGGGGTCGGAGAAGAGGAAAAGGCGGCGGACGAGCAACAAAAATTAAGTTTAACTAAAAATGACAAAATCTGTTTTTATTAAATCATAGTGTATATATAAAATGAATGAATATGCGAAATATTTGACTTAAATAGCCTAATTAACAGATTAACAAAACGAAAGGAAGACTGAGAGATATGCTGCTGAGTTTGGTTCATATGCTATTTGTGTGGCGCGGCGCTCTACGAAAGTCCACAGAAAGGAAACCGAGATGACAGAAATAAAAGTAAACACATTGCAGTTTCGAATGATCTGTATGACCAAAGATGACGGAGTATTTTTTTGTTGTTTGTTTCTGCTGTTCGAGCGCGCCGGCGCCTCACGCACACACATAGCCTACAGCATTGCAAACGTTGCAGCCTGTTCATTATCAGAATAAAATACAGTCAACCAAACATATAGATACACTGGTTAATTTAAATAGAGCGTACTGCGTAGTAGCTACAATCCGTGCCTTTCAGCCTGAGCTTGGGCCAAACACACATTTGCTCATGTGATGAGGATGTTTTTTAAGTGCGTTAAGTAAGCTTGGTCATCTATCAAACCACTAATTAATATGACCCAACATGCATCACAATTCATATCAAAGTTATTCTTTGTTCATTTCCTAACAGGCTCATTTATTACACTCCTGCTACAATAATCAGTCTAATCTGTCACATTAATCTGTCAGCCCACTCTTATCATCTCAATAAAACGACAGCTTCAGGAAAGGTTAACAGATCACTACTGTATATAAACCTCTTTTCAGAGAACTCAATCAAATCAGCATTACTTAGTCTTTCTGATCCCAAATCCATGATCTCTCACTCAAACATCACGACTCGATCTAGAGTCATAAGTGTTTCTGAAAGCTCATCCAAAAGCAACGCAAGTATCACAAACCCTACTGAACAGACAGCTTTTAAGATCCCACTTTACTGAAGTGCTTTAAGAAACTGATGTTTTGCTGAAGTAGTGCTTAACTGACTTTTCCTTTCCCCCGTTTCTTTCTGCGTTTAATTCTTTCTGTTTACCTGTGTGTGTGACGTGACGGAGCGACTGCCTCTCTTTTATCCACACCACCGCACAATGACATGTTTCTTAATCCTGATCACGATTTCTGCTCTCTCTAGATGACGGAGACAGCACTGCTGAGCTGAAAACACTGGCACACATGTCAGCTGCAGCTTAGTGACCTCTATTGAGATATTCAGCGAGTGTGACCAGATCCAGAGCGTTGAGGAGTATGAATAGTACAAATGATCAAGCCCTCACTACTGCAGACATCAAGCAGAAATACAGAAACATCATTAATGCTGAGAAGGTTCTTGGTGAGGCCTGCATTACAGGCTGCAGTCATTCATCCAGCGCTTTCTGATTTCACAGACGCTCCGGATCTCATTTAGCAGCTTCACACTGAGCAATAGTTATGTGTAGGGCTGGGAATCGCTTGAATTTGATCAATTCCTATTCTGATTCCGGTTCTGCTTATCGATTCCCAGCTTCGATTACAATGTGGCTAAAAAAAAATGAAGTCAAACATTTCGATATCAAACATATTTATTGTGTGTCTCTTTTTGCAAAACATTTGATTGCTGCTGAATACCATGAACAAAAATCAGCCGGCTGCACAAAAACTGGACTCGATTAAGAGCTGTCTGTGTGCAAAATAGAGCCGTACGATTCTGGATAAATTATTGGATAAATTCTGAGATTTGTTGTTTTTTTTAATAGAGGTTGTAGTTCTCTCACAATTCTGAAGAAAAAAATATTACACAACTAAACAAAAAAAAAAATTATAGCCTGAATGCACTGTAAGTCACTTTGGATAAAAGCATCTGCTAAATACATAAATTATAAATTATTTATTTAATTATTTCATTAAATTATAAACAAAATCTGATGGAATTTTTGAATTAATGATTCAATGACTCACTCAAGATTTACTGGTTTCATTACTGAATGAATCTCTTGAATGAATGATTCAAAGACAAATACATTTTTAACAGCTCCTCTTCGCCAGCTAAACAAAAGATGCACACACAGAAATTGATAGGTGGAATTGAAATCTTCATTTTACAACAAGTATCCGATTCCTGACCTTAAGTATTCGAATCTGGAATTGGAATTGATTTTCGATCCCCAACCCTAGTTATTTCAGGTATTATGACACTATGTAGAGCAGAGCTGTCCAAACTCGGTCCTGGAGGGCCGGTGTCCTGCAGAGTTTAGCTCCAACTTGCCTCAACACACCTGCTGGTAAGTTTCTAGTATGCCTATAAGAGCTTGATTAGCTGCTTCAGGTGTGTTTAATTAGGGTTGGAGCTAAACTCTGCAGGACACCGGCCCTTTGATGTATCATATATAGTATATAAGGCTTTATGTCTGAAGCAGACGAGGCTCTCAGTGTGCGGTGTTTGCAGGATCTGACACTGCTTACAGCTGATCGAGGAGAGAGAGGCGTGCTTTAGATATCTCTGCACTATAAACACTTGTACTTTTGTTTTTACAATACATATTTTGAGCAGTTTTCCAAAGAACGGTGCCTGACCAGCTGACACTATTACGCTCCTTCTTAGTGTTGTAGCTATGAAACGGTTATGTGCTGAATTAATATTTATATTGTTAGGAGCATACTAACAGAAATGTGAAAGCCCTCAATCTGTGTACTAGATGAAGCTACGGGGTGATTTCAGCTTACCCTACTGTACTTACTTCAGATGAAAGTGCAGTCAGATTCAGAGTTATGTTATGAATGAATGATAACAGTCTAGACTTCAAAATGAGGCTAGATTCATACATCTGAGTTTTTTTTTTAGTTTTTTATGTAATGTATTAAGTATTACTCACACACTCTCTCTTACACACTCCCACAAACACACACACACACAAACACACACACTCTCTCACACAAACACACACACACACTCTCATACACTCACACACACACACTCTCAT